CTCTGTCTCTTCCTTGTGCATATGAGCATGTACACACATGCATGCACACACACACACACACACACACACACACCACACACACGCCGCTGTCCTGCTCTCCTTCCCCTACAGGCAGGCCCATTAGACTCTCCAACGCCATGGGGATGCCCACATTCAGGGACAAAGAATGCACCAACCTGGAAATGCACCATTGAGAAGACGTGGCTCCTGTGGGAGTCTGGTGTGCCTGGCTCAGAGGAGAGAGGGAAGGGCAGAGAAGAATATCGGGTGGGAGTGCACAGAGACTGAGGAAAGGCTTGGTGTGCCTGCTGAGTTTGCTCGTTTCCTGCACTATAAACCCTTCCTACCACTCTCTGAAGGAAGCCTCCTCCTCACTCAAGGGCAACCTGGAGCTCCACAGCAGAGAAGACAGGCAGGGGTTCCCCTCCTACTGCTGGGAGAGGCTGTACAAAGCACCTACTGGGCTTCTGTGGCCCCAGGACTCCTCTCCCAGCACAGGCAGCAACATAAGGAATGTGGCAGGCTTGGGAGCTTCAGGGCAGGGTGGAAAGAAGGCTGGCCGGGTAGTTAGCCTCCAAGGCTCTGGACAGGTGGGACAGCAACCATCTTGGAGAGGAGGAACTGCAGCCCATCTCTCTGGGAAGGAGCTATGGCAGACAGAGGCTGCACTGGCACTGCCAGAATGTGCCACTGCCTGACCTCAAAGAAGCTTGGCTTCCAAGACCATATGTTTCACCCATCTTGGCAGCTCTGTGGTTATTGTGAGAATTAAATGAGATCATGTATGTAAAATGTGCAGTGCAGTGCCCAGTAGCAGACAGAACCTCGCACAATCTGTGGCCCAAAGAGGGTCTCAGTAAATGGACTTTGCCCCACCTGTGGCTTAGTTTACAAGTAAAGTGCAGATCTGAAAGACTAGAGGCTGGCTGTCCTTGCCCACCATGTGTTAGCTCAGTTGCAAGGGGGCAGCTTCTGAAAGCTGTGCACAGTGCCCACCCACAGAGCTCCCAGAGCACCAGACACGTACTATGTGAGTCTGCCCTGATGGTGAGCTCCTGGAGGACCCTGGAGGGGCACAGAAATCTCAGTAACTTCATAACCCATCGTGCCTAACACGGTGCCTTGAATTAAAAGGTTCCTAACAAACATTGCAGGCCTCTCCTCCAGAGCCTCCAGTCCCCCAGGGGAGACAGGCAGGCCATTTGCCATCATCTGGGATGGCCATATAGCTTTGCCCTGGCTGGCTGGTGCACAGAGGAGGAGAAGACACACTCAGGCTATGTTTGTTGAAGACAAGGCTAAGAATGGTTAAGGAAGGCAGAGAGTGGGTGTTCAGGCCAGAGCATGAATCCTTGCCAATAGAGAAAATCAAAGAGCATCCATACAAAGGTGGGGAGGATAGAGAGAATGTAGTGAGCTCAGGCTCATACTGGAGGTCCAGCACTCCCTGACCCCAGATGGAAGATGGAAGGAGGGCAGAGACTAAGGGGTGGGTCGGCAGGCTGGGTGGCTCAGGCCCCAAGCAGGGCAGCATGAGCAGCTGGTGCACGCAGAGGTTCAGGGGCAGGTTTGCCAATTGCTTCATCCCCTGTGGAGGTGACAGGAGGGGACATGAGCTGCTGCTTCATTGCTGAGCCCTCCTTTCTTAATAATCTCCGGGGATCTGCCCTGCAGGGGAGGAAGCAGACACCATGGGAATGGTGTTTGCCCCGTCTGCCTTCACCAATGTGAAGTGGAGGGCCTAGAGAAGAGGAGCTTTTTGCCGAAAGCTACACAGCAGACCTCAGAACAAAGCCACAGCCATATGAGCTGTCCTGGGCTGTGCCCCTATCTCCCCAGCTCTCACAACTCTGTCCATTCACAAGAACCCGGGAACAATCGCTACAACAGCAAGGCCTGACCCTTTGAGAGTCCAAGCAAGCAGAAGCAGGCTTCTGGGGAATTGGCAGCCTCTCTGGAATGGCCCTGGCCCTGGACTCCTCTCTAAAAATTGGTCTTCAACCCTGAAAACTAATCAAGGGACCTTGTAAAGAGTAGCTATTGACAGAGAGATGCTCTGGGAGCGCTGGGGAACTGGGCCCATGAATCAGCTCACGAGCAAAATGAGATTTCTCAAACATCCACAGCGGGAAGGCAGAGCAGAGATACAGGAAGCCACAAAGAACCCGCTGCTTCGTGTCCCCACTTGAGCCAGCTCCACATCCCTACACCCCTCTCCACACCAGCCCTAGATGCTCCTCAATACTAGTCTTCAACAGATATTGACTGAACCCTTACTATGTGCCAGGCACTGAGCTCCCCAAAAGAGAAAGCACCTGGGTCAGGGACACAGAGTTTAGAGCCGAACTGAGAAAATGATAGATATAATCAGTGGGCTGGAGAAGGGAATTCTTATTTGAAAGGATTGAATATCCCAAGACAACTTGGCAGGAACCCCTATGGCCTACACCATATTTGCTGTATGACCTTCAGCCAGTATATCACCAGCTCTGAGCCCTCAGTTCCCCATTGGTGAAAAAAACATGGAAATCTCCACTAGTAGGCAATATCTGTGGGCCTCCCTGAAGAGGCCCCTGGCTCACTATTTGTATTTCTACCAAGAGTTTTGTCTTTTTTTTTTTTTTTTTTTTTTTTTTTTTTTTTTTTTTTGTACCAGGGATCAAACTTGGGTCCTTGCACTTGCAAGGCAGGCAGCAGAACCACTGAGCTAAATCCCCAGCCTTTCTACCAAGAGTTTTGGAGGTAAGAATTCCTACTCCTGTGTTGCACATGAAGATTCAAGCACAGACGGGCTTCAGTGGTCCTCAGGGTCCCCAGGCTCCACCAGCTCTGCCAGTCTCTGCTCGATGCTGCCTTGGGTTTGGGGTCACTTTGCTAAAAGGGGCGCCGCCAAGGAGCAAAGGGAGTGGGAGTGGGAAATGTCCCTCCGTGTGTGCCACAGAAGCAGGTGTCTCGGGGTGACCCTGAGCTTGAGAGCTCGGACTCTCTGATGGGAGAGGAACAGGCCCTGTCCTCCAGAGTCTGCCACTGTACAAGGGAAATAAGACACCAGCCTACAGTACCCAGTCTGAGACGGGAAATTGACCACCCAAGAGAAATTACACCATGTATCAGAGAACAATCCACACAGGTGCCCAGTGGTCTATGAGGGCACAGAGTGGAGGCAAAGTAAATGTGGAAGGCAGCCTGGAGGAGGGTTGTGGGTATCCCTGAAGGGCCTGAGGAAACATCCACAGCCTGACCGGGATGCCAGAAGCAAGACTGGGCAGTAGGAGTTGGGGTGGATTTAGTGTCCCCCACACACAGCATGCACGTGAACACGCACATACACTCAAGTACTCACACACTTGAGCACCAGCTCCACGTCCTCCTCCTGAGGTCTGTTTCCTCTCCTCCCTGCAGGCTCAGTCCCAGACTCAGCCCCTGTGGCGAGCTTGCTGTCAAGAAAGCAGGACGGACTGTGGTTAGCCTGCATCTCCTGGGTCAGTGGGAGAGGAGAGGAGGAGCAGGAAGATCATCCCAGGAACACAGCCCCTCAAAGGAATCTCCAGCTCAGTAATAACCCAGAGCAGTTAGTCCTTAACCGCACTATGAGGGTAGAGCTGATGGGTAGATCAGGGGTCCCGGGGCAGCAGCACAACCCAGAATAAAAGAGGAGTGGGTCCCGTGGAAAGGGTTCCAGGAAAGCTGGACACTCCCTCAAGCTCTCTCATATCCCTGGGGTCTCTGCAGAGAGAAGCTGCTGCCCATCTGTATAGATAACCTTCAGGGGTCCTTGCATATACAGGAGCTTGTCAGAGGGCAGTGTAGCCAGGAGCACATCTGTCCTGTACTTAAAACGATAAATACTCTCACAGCATGCAGAAGAATGCCCATTTACATGCAAGCCGTTGCTGACTTAATTGCAAAGATCCTATCTGTTCATTAAAGCAGACTAGAGGGTCCTCTATTCGTAAATATTTTGCAGCAAAAGAGACTATGGAATGATTTATTTGGGGCTGGTGCCTGATGAGGTAGAGCCAGAAACACTCATGCAGGGGGTGGCCCCGGTCCTCTGGGTGGGTGCTCTGTGCGTGGCAGCCAGGAAGACTTCTAGAGGAAAGGGACAGAGATCCTGTGGGTGGAGAGAGTCCTACCCCAGGCTAGCCAAAAGGAGGGGTGCCTAAGGCCATGGAAGGAGCAGAATTGATTACTCCAAGCTTCAGTTCCCTGTCTACAAAATGTGGACAAAGCACCACCTAACTCCTAGATTCTTGGGAGGACTAAGTGAGTTATTGCACATGAAATACAGAAAATATCCAACCCACAGCTCACCTCAGCAAAGGCAAGCTATTATTTTATCATTTTCCAAAAGAAAGATGACTTTTCTAAAGTGATGTGGTGTGGAGCTCTGATCCAATCCTTGCTCTGATACTCAATTTTCTTGTTGGTTTGTTTTGGGCTTGGTGTTTAGCTACAAGACTTCCTCTGGAACTCAGTCATTTCTCAGGGGGGATTTCAACAACTTCAAGGAGACACTGGAAATCCCCAAAAGAAAGATATTGATGATTTGCTAAGTTGGAGCAGAAGGAGTCGAAACACTTAGTGTATTAACTCAGAAAGGCTGACATGACAGTGAGCCGCTGTCAGGGCAGCTATTTTTAAAGCATTCTTCAAGGCCTGCTCTTTCCTGATGGCCTCTATTCCCTGGAATTACTCTAAAATGAGTGACCTTAACTGAATCTCTTGTATTTGGGGTTTGGGGGCAGTCAGCTGATCTCCATCACAGGGGACAGTAATGCTTACAGAAGGTAAGTCCCTAGATGCTCACTAAGGCCAGCGAGGAAGCTGTTTACCAGACCAGGCCTCTGGAAGCCCCTTCCTGTTCCTCATCCTGGCACATAGCTCCAAGG